AAGCCATAGTATGTACGGGGTATTAGTAATTTTAAAAATATGGTACAGATCCAAATACCAACCAAATTCCTTAAAACTTGAAAAATAATTTGGGGATCTCAATACAAATAGAAAGGGCAGTAAGGCATTAGATTATCTATTCAGTAATTCCATTAAAAAAAAGTTAAAGTGGATCTTAGAATTTCATAAAAATTTGTAATTTTTATCTAATTTTTTTTTCGCCTTAAAGTGGTCTCCAAATTTTTTTAGTAATTTATTTTTTATTTTTTTTTTATCTAAACATTTGAACCACGAACTTTTAGTTGTTTTGGAACAAAAGGTTTTTTTTTGTATAATATGGATATGGACTTTACTCGTGGTATTCAATTGAAAAACAATGATTATAATCGATTTTCATGATTTTCAGGGCATGGGACCAAAGGTACTAATTGCATGTTATATTCCCCCTTGAAAGTATACGCAACATAACAAAAAATCAGCGATGCAGGTTTATTTCGACACAATGCATGTCTGAGCAAACCCCTAAATGCATGACTTAGCAACCCCTGAAGAATGCTTTAACTGGCGTTGAAACGTAGGGGCGATTTGCAATCAGGGTACTTCTATTCATTTTGCATTGAAATTATAAAACATGATATAATGGAATAACAAGATATTAAAATGATTTTGTATTTGTAAGTTATATTAAGAGGTTGTAAAGAATAAGTTGTGCGCATAAAACCTGCCAATTTTGTTTTTGAAGAGTCACAATCAGCGATTTCCTGATCGCTGTTCGCAGTTTTTATGTGTCTAACACAACAACTTCTTGTTAATTACAAATACAAAACATCATTCTAATAACCCTCAATCCATAATCCCATAAAACACTTTGGTACTAAATAAATGGAAGTAGACCTGTATGCAATAATTTCGTTTTAATTTTGAATCGTAAGACTGCATAGTCTGAGTTTCGACAGTTAATTGAATCTCACAATCTAACACTCCATTATAATAGAACAGTTCAAATGTTATATGTATGGATGGAATTATATTCGATAATATATTCTACATGTGTAAAGTTTCATGGAACTTTTTTGATCATCCTTCAACTTGTCTTCAGATATCTTAACTTCTCTGCAGAACCCTTTACTCATCTATATGGCATATAATCGCATATCAATCCCATATGGATTTTCATCAATTTTAAGATAATAACGCTATCTACTATCAATAGGTATCTACTTTCATGTTACGTGATAAAACTAAGAACTTTGAGCATGAAAAATGTGAAAACAACATCAAGTCAGTTTGTCCCATCAAGAAAGGCATATCAGTCCCATCCTGAAATTCAATCGTCCAGAGGTCAAGTAATAGTTCTGCCTTTTGAATCGCCATATGTTTTGCTAATAGAACAAAACATACAAGGCAACTGCTTTTAGCTTGCTAAATTACCGATTAATTTACAATGATGTTTTTTTTTTATTTGCATGGAAATTGCTCTTCTTAACTTCAACTGCCATTTTCTCAATGCCTACTTTTTCCATATAGGACTGATATGGGATTATAGGCAGTATAGTTACTTGATATTTTTACAGCTATCTAAACTTCTCTGTGGTGCTCTGCAAGTTTCTAGGCATCTGTAGACACAATTACAATAACTTCTTATTGGTTTTCTGAGCTACTTTGCATTTTTATAAACATCGCTGCTGTGTGTTGAACTTTTCCGATGTTCAATACCTCCTGATGGTCGATAAGTCTATTTTTACCGAAAAAATCGGTAAAATGGTCAAGGTTTGCCAAGCATTATGAGTGTGTGGAGACGATGAACGCTGATACTTACGCTCAGGAATGATTGAACCGGCGTCTGCTGTCGATGATCCATCATCATGGTGGCATAGTATTATTTTGGCCGAGGGGATGGTCCGACATAGTGGTTAACATTCATGCCTCTCACACTAAACGTCACGAGTTCAAAGCTTATCCCTGGACAAGCTACGAATGACCGATAATGTTTTAAAGTGACTACAATACAAAAATATTTTGCTCAAATTTTGCACTTTGCAGGGCTGAAATTTGTTCACCTGACAAATCGAAACATACGAGGATTCCTAATCATTTTTTTCGTTGATTTGCTTTATGTCGATCTTGTTTTCCGTACTGAGCACCAATGCTACCGACGAAAGGGAGACAGCTCCCACACCTGAACCCTACCTATCGACCCATCAACTCATGGACCGGGGACCAACGGCTTTATGCTTCAGATAATCATTTTTCAAGTGTAATGCCGCGGATACACTTGGATGACAAACTATGAGCATGAGCGTTATTTGTATAATAATTATGAGCACTTTACAACAACTATGCAAAAACTATACAAGTGTGACCATGGATGTGCTCATAATTTATTATACAAATAATGCTCATGATCATAGTTTCTCATACAAGTGTATCCGCGGCATAACGATTACTGTTCCTCACGGTATTCGAAAGACATGGTATTTGCATTATTATTGTGGGGCCTCGCAGCCTAGTCAGTAAAGGCACGGTATCGCCTCGGTGGGTTCGATTCCCGGTCCAGTCGAGGGAATCTTTCGGGTTGGAAATTTTCTCGACTTCCCTGGGCATAGAGTATTATTGTGCTTGCTTGGCAAGAACAAGCATTTCACATCTCATTGAAATTCAAAACACTTCAAATCCATCGGTTTTGAACAGTAGTGTGATTCGGTGTTCAATACACTTGAATTGATAGAGAAATATTATCAACATTTCGAAGTTTGAAACACTAGAAATCAACTTGTACACTCAGAAAAGTTTACACGTCTGATCGAAATGTTTAAACACTTGATATTTCATATGCACAATCACATTTATTTTGAGTGTATTTCGGCATGGTTCAATGTGTTCTACACATTGATTTTTAGTGTTTCAAACTTTGAAATGTTAATAATCTTTATCCATCAATTCATGCGTATTGCACATTGAATCACACTACTGTTCAAAACAGATGGACTCCCAAGTAACATTGCAGGTTTTATCGCGGTTTTATAGCATTCTAAAAAGCGCATGGGCTTCGTAAAACATTCCAAAAGATTTCGAGTCATAACTGTAGTGCGATGTGATGATAATGTAAGCCACATTTTTTTTTTTGAAATATATTAAATAACTTTTAAACATTTTGCATCAAAAATTTTTCCACTTTGCTTGAGCTTTCGCATAATATTGTTTTGCTGACAGCCGATGGCTGATTAGTGCTGATTACTACACTGAAAAGAAGCCATTACCGCAGCACCCAGATTCCAAGCGCTGTAGTTTTTCAATAAATAAAAAAGAAGTGTTGTTTTGACAATTTGACAAAGATTAATCTTATATCAGATCGATGATAGTACAGCTAAGACTAGACTCAATGTACTTCATCATCATCGAAACTACATAAGTTTCGCTGATGTTGCGACAAAAGAAAAGAGTTCTTAATTTACTTTTGTCATTTTGAACCTATTTCGGACATTTTGCGGAATTAAGAACATTTCGAGGCTAAAGTCAAATTTTGTGGCATTCGTAGCTCTGAAAAATCACGAATTTACCCTGCCACTAGTTATCACTACAAATGTCTTTTTCGGTTTACAAGACTATGCAGAGTAAATTAGCTTCTGCCAGCTCTGTATACACTCAGCAATAATTTATTTCACCACAATAAAATCCTATTCCTTGGGAGTCATTTTCAAACCTTAAAATCTTCAAATGAAGTAGAATACCTTTTGTTGAGTCAATGTGATATTGTCATGTCCTGCAAAAGGACAACTTAAGCTCTTTCCAAATCCTCAATTAGCAATTATTCTGCAACGATGTTGAAGCAGGCACCAACGCGAGAAAAGACTAAGCTCTGCCATGCGGAATAACACGACCTTTTTATCTTTCTTATACCCTCAACAAAAATTTTGAAAATTAAGGAGTTTGTGCGTTTGAAGAAAATTCTTTGAGATAGGTTAGTTTTGAGTTACGGCAACTGATTTTGACACACCGGATAGGGACACATTTAGGACCGCACCACTAGGTGGATCTATGAAGTGTGTTTCACCATTCTGCTACAGACTACTATTCTCCCCCTCCCCCTAAAATGTCATGGTGGAATCAATTTGGGCATCAGCTCTTCAGTGTTTTCCGGGCCCCGTCATTCGTTTCAGTGAACGGGAAAATACCTTCGCAGATAAGCGTATCTTGCACAGTGAAGGACCAAACCGGAGGGTTACACTTCCCCCTCGTTTTGACGTGTGTATAGATTTAATAAAATAGCTCATTCTTGAAGGGATCTCGATATTAAAAGCCACCCTCCGGCTTGTTGGAGTGCGCCATTTATTCTCCCATTTTCGGCAATAAACGCTAAATAACGCAGTGGGAATTCCAACGGGAAAGGGTGGGAGTTTAATTGTGACGAGTAAAATCATGGGGTCATTATTTAAACCTTCCCAAACAGTAATTTGCTGGGTAACAACAATTGATTAGTGCCGTTTGCTAAATTTTTTAAGTCAGACGTCATACGAACGCATATCTTCTTTTTCTACAATGCAAAATGTCTCTTGTACATTGAAAAACCATAAATCATGAGCACATACTTATCGTAATCCTATGCTGTATTGAAAGATGCTCCCTTGGGGAACGTTTTCTTCCGACTACTATACATAAACTATAAAAAGCATACATTGAAAAGATAACTGTGGTGATATTTACTCCCATGCTTCATACCGTAGATCTTAGCATAATCATAAAAAATGGGTTTGGAAAGATATAGATGGTCATTTATAGTCATTTTTATCAATACCGTAGTTAAGTGATGAAAAATTAATGGAAACAAATCCAGTATAAGTACAAAACTCAAAAGAAGTCTGCACAATTTAGAGAAAATACGCGTATCGGTTATCAATTATAGCAAGAGGAATTAAGCGGGCATTAATAATAATTTTCTATTTACACGTCATCTATGTTACTAACTTTTAACACATTTTCCAATCTGATTTAATTCACAGACATTATTCCCGTGATCCAATCATCGGATTCGGTGGAAACTCGAGAGTTTCTGCAGAAGATAACGGAGCTACTCATTGACTATGTCAACATCCAGAATGACCGCAAGGAGAAGATCCTTGATTTTCACCATCCAGAGGAAATGAAGATGCTCCTGAACTTGGATGTTCCGGAGCATGCTGTTACTCTACAACAGCTGGTGAAGGATTGCGCCACAACGCTAAAATACCAAGTGAAGACGGGTAAGTTTAATGCCTACCGATTTTCAACCTCCAATCTTCCCACAAGGTATCCCCATTCCACCCTTTTCGGAAAAAATTACAACTCTTCACTAGAACTGAGTGGTGATGGTAATTGCAGTATGATGATCTCAAGGGCGACTGAAAATAAGGACAAGCACACGCAGGGCGGGAAAATCCTTCCTACACTGACAGGCCTTTGAATGGTTCCGAGAAGATGGATCAATCTCCCCTTTCAGTTTGACATCAGCGGAAACAAAACGGGAAGTTTCGCAGCCTCTCTTCTCTGGCCTTAACATTGTCAGCCAGTATGAAATGCTAGCTACGATACAGAGTAGCAGAGTGAGAGGGATTACAGTCAAAATAGCACAACAGACGTATATCCGGATCAGCTCGCACTTTTCGCCCCCCCGATTGATGGTAGCAGATGGTTCCAACGGAGCGCAGACCTTTCCGGATGGAGGGAAAGCATTTTGCTGCTGTCTGATTTTGATATTGCAAACATTCGTTCTGCCGATTGTTCTTTTCTCTCGTTGAAACGAGTGCTGTTTTGTCACGATTTCCATGTAGTCTTTATAAAGATGCTTCAGTCAGGAATATGCGTACTTTTTTTCCTGTTAGTAATGGCAGAACTTTAAGGTGTAACCATCTTCTTTTATCAATACATCATCTTGTTTAAGCACTACTTATCATTATCACACACCTGTCAGACACAGATTGCAAACCAGGTTGAGTTATGAGTTGGAGCTTCGTTGAGATAGTATTGAAATTGCTGAATAATCAGGAACTAATTATGTTAAACATAAAAGAAATGCTGAAAAAACGAAAAACACATCCCACCAATATCTATAACTATGGGTTTGAATAATATTGATAATAACCAGCAGATATGTGGATAAATGCGTCTCAAAATATTTTTTTTTACCACATCAACGATAATGAAAAGTGTTATACTGTGCTGATATGTTCAAGTGGTTTAATTTGACAAACTATGAGTATCGGTTTTGCAGTCTTGCGAAAAATCCAGGTTTGATTAATGTGTGTTGCAGTTGTTCGCTATATCCAAGATTTAAAACAATAGTCTATCCAATAGTTCGGATACTTGTTGTAAGTCCAAAATCTTTAAAACGATTCAATTACTCAGAATGTGTTTGAATTATTTCAGAATCTCTAAAGTAATATGGAAGGTGCTGTTTGATAAATTGGTTGCTTTGTTGAAAACCCTTAGGGGCCAGGTAACCCAGTCAGTAAAAGCACGGTTATTCCAAGCTGGAGGTGGTGGGTTAGATTCTCGGTCTAGTCGAAATTTGTTCAATCAAAATCTGTAGAAAACTGACGAAATAGTAGTAGTATGTTGGCTAGACTGATGCAAAATTTGAAATTTCCGCTCCACAGTGCTCAAACGGTTCCAAATTGGGACCTGATTAGCCTCCCAAAATATGAACTCATTTAGTGAGAAACTGACTGGGCACAAACCATTAGAAGTTTATTTGGGAATTACTATGAAGAAAGCATAATTTCGGTTCATATCTAATTCAAAATTCACCACTTAAATCTAATTTTAAAAATGATAGCTAAGCTTGTTGAAAATTTTCCCAGCTACAACTTTGTTCAACACCACTTTTCGATCAAATGTAAGGAACAAAAGTTATTAATGATTCAAGTCACTGATGTCTTATGATTATGCTCAATCAACGGTTCAGCAGGCAACATTGGTGTATATGGCGCGTAGAATAGAGGACAAAAATCATGGCTACTATGTCGCACTGCAGAATACAGTGTTGCTCACAATAGAATAGCAATAGACTTTGTTAACAATACAATATGTAAAAAGGCTAGAAGACAATGAACAAAAAAATTTGTTTTTCCATAGTAATTTCCATATCAACTTCAAATGGTTTGTGCCAAGTCAGTTTCTCACTAAATGAGTTTAAACTTTCGGAAGCTAATCAGGACCCGATTTGAAACCGTTTGAACACTGTGGAGCGAAAATTCCAAATTTTGCATCTGTCTAATGTTGCAACATTTTTGACGTCATGTACTAAAAATGTTTTCAAGATTCTATGCCTGTAATTTTCTGCATCTTGCACACTAAGAAAAAGTTTTAAAGATCCAAAAGAGATGAAACAATGTTAAAGATACAACAATCCGGGTTTTAAAAAATTTCATATATCTTAAATTTAAAAAAATTAAGTTTGATTTGGAAATAATTTACAATCCTGGACCAGAGTTGGTAACGGTCAGTTTGGTCAGTGACGTTTGACGAAAACCAAAATTAAATTGTTACGGTACAAAAATCATCTTTTCCATACTTCTTTCGTCAGTGACCAAGAGAATCCGACAGTAATCACTAAAAAATAACCTATCGCATCGTTTACCTTCACTTCTCGTTTTTCAATCATGCATGGACAACAAAAATAGCAAAAACCGTCAAACGTACATGTCAGCAGCCGAATTATCGTACTATGAGCGCTGTTTATTTTCCTTTCGCAATTCAATTTTCCTAAGCATTGAAAGACCAGTGGTGAAAACACAGGTTTGATAATCACAACAGTCGTGCTTCGAATCCGGTTTGTACCCATTTTTAGTTTTTATTGCTTCCATGATCATTATTTTTTATCATGCCACTTTTAATCATCTCCGAGTAACCGACTGATCTAAGAGAGAGAGAGAGCACGTATTGATCTACATGAAACGAAAATCAATTATTTTGTTCATGTGTTTCACTTATAAATTTTGCCAAAACATCAGCCTTATACATTCCATAAGACAAACCACATAGAAGAATGCATAAAGGGTATGTGTGACCGCTTATAAATTTCATTAGACACATGATCTTCATTAACTTTTTACAAGGGGTCTGCTTATTAGTTGACTTATACATTTTTTGAATAACCAGCAATAGAAATTTGCCAAAAAGTATAAGGAGATTTCTATCCGTGTAAGGAAGGGAGACAACTGGCTTCTTACTCTTTTATCTCTATCTCTATCTCTATCTATATCTATTGCTATCTCTGTCTTACTCACTTCAAATCGGCCAGTCACGAGCTGGTTCGTGTTTGACAGAAAAGTGGTTCGTTTTCGCCCCCGTATTGTCTTCTCTTCCTCTTGGGTATTAATATAGTTTTTTGCATGACGTAAATGAAAGATTGGAAATTGTTATGCGGTATTTGGAGTGCGACGAACCCTAATAAACAAATACCATAAATGAACGATAACCCACATTGTCGAACTTTTCCACAAATGGTTTGGATGATACCCCAAACATGTTGTTAAGGAAAATAACCATACCATTTTTATTAAGGGTGATGGTAATACAATATTCATCACTAACTTTGCTCTCTCCACATTGATGCAAGACAGCCCTGTTCTGGTCTATAGAAATGTATCTAAATTCTTGGAATTGAAATAATTTTCAAAGAACTCATAGTTAATCGATAAATGGATGATGCTTTTTATATATTTTTTTTTGTTTTAAACCAATTGTGAAATTCATGAAAAAAAAACAATCAAAAGAATATATATGAAGAGTATTAAGATTTTTTTTTTAGATTCACAGATACAAAAAAAGATCTTGTTTTGAAAAATAAATAAGACTACGAGTCTTCTGATTATTCTTATATTTTCATACTAGAGTTTATACTAGTATGATTCAAGATTCAAAACTTAAAGAAATATTCAAAATACCGGAGGATTTAACACACTAAAATAATATAAATCAATAATCTGAGGCATCGAAACATGAAATTTTCTTTCAAGATATTGATTTCCAACAAAAACGCGATACTCTACACTAATAAAAATTCAATGCTAATTTGTATGTGTCCTACATATGAATTTTCGCAATGTAGTAAACAAAATATGTGTCAGACACATAGTTCTTATGTGCACACATAAAATTCATGTGTGACCACACATACTATTCATTTGACTCATAAATTACATGTGCACTTCTGAGTGGATTCTGTTAATGTGTGGACACATGAAAATCATGTAGAAGTTTACATGGAAATTCACCAGTAAAAATATGTCAAATTTTATGAGTGTAGGACATTAAATTTTTGAAGATCTGAAATTTAAGACATGTTGCGATATTCTGAACTAAGTAACAATTTAATAATATTTTATAATCAAACAGATGGCTCCATTTAGAAAAATCACGCAACATCGTGTAGGCCACAAACCTTTGCACAAATGGTACTTAAGTGTACCTTTTTCGCAATTGACTCTCGCCGTAATATCTTACGGATACTTACACCGAGGCAAAAGAACGTAAGAATTCCATAAGAACTACATATAAATTTTAGCTACCAGAAATCGATATGAATTTCATAGATTTGCCTTATGAAAAATAATGTCGACAAAAAATTATTAAACGGAGCAGACTGGAACCGAAACCATGGACGTTGAGATTACGGGTTTTGTGTCAGAACCACTCGTCTGTCAACGGTTGGGAAAATGGAATGCCTACAGGCGTATAAGAGCTACCTTAAGTTAGACAAAAATCTTTCATAAGTCGCGAAATTCATATGTAACTTTCATGACCTTTCATGCCTCAGTGTAGTACGGCCCTCATGATCGTGTTATGGAGGACGCGTATGCACACGACAACACATCAAAATCTAATCGGCTAAGGGCCAAACCTACATGTTCGATTGCGATCGCATCACACGTACCCAACCTTACAATAACAATGAAAATAAACTTATAAGAACATTTTCAACTGAAACGTACCCACCAAATCAATACATCACAATCAGTGCGCAAAACATTCAGGTTCAATGAGTCATTTTCATATGAATATGAACAGCCATCTACCTCATCATTCACTGCCTCGTGACAGTCTGAATGATTGGGAAGTAAACGAGTCACTGACAGCAGAGCACTAAGTCAGCACGTTTACTCTTCCGTGATGGTACCCAATTCTTGTTTTGAATGACTACAGCGTACATTTTCTATGGAAAAATGCCTCAATTACATGCTGTGCGAGCGAAGGCAGTCAG